TTGTTTCAGATACAGAAAGTTTATTTGTGACCCTGTAATACAAAGAACCAACCCTTGGCTGTGGCTTAGAGGTAGAGGCAGATCAGACTGCGGTGGTCCTTGCTACAGGTCTGCATTTTGCAGTTGAAAGCTGCTGAGAAATACCAGCGGTATTTTACCCAGAGAGAATTTTCTTTAGTTTGTGATGCAACTCTGTCTTTTAAGGAGATAATTGTTTTCTCACACTGTATCTGACCCTTAATTGTTCTTTTTTTACATGTGCACTTACTACCAGCCATTATCAATCTACACCTTTCTTTGTTTTAGTGCGTTCTACTGATTAGGCAAGGTTTACAATATTTGTACAAAATCTATGCAAATAGCGGCTGTGCTGTAAATCATTGACAAATTCTGCTCATACTTTCCTGATTTTTGTCCCAACTAACAAGTGTACCAATTAACTGAAGGGTTCCCTTAGCTGATGCTACATATACATCATGTTTGTCCCATTGGGGAGATTCACCTTCACTTCCTGTCCCATAGCCAAAACAGGAAGTGAAAGGAAATCGCTGCAAATTAAGGAAATCCCTTGGAAACTCCCAGGTCACCAGAACCAGTGTCCCCATTGGAAGATTTCTCCTCTGTTGCTGTTCTAGGGACATCTTAACCACTTCCCAACCGGCCGTTGCATATAAACGGCCGGACGGTGGCAGTGCAGGGTCGGGTGGCCGTTTATAAACGGCCTCCCCGCACCTTGCTTGTGCGCGCTCCCTGGGAGCACGCAGCACGGCGATCCGGTGCCCGCTGTGTCCTCCCGGACACAGTGAAACACCGATCGTCGGACGGGACCTCTGTACGAGGTCCCGATCATGTGATCACTGATTGGCCAATCAGTGATCACATGCAATGCTTACTACGTGTGAAATCTGTGAATGATCACAGAGGTCACATGGTACAAGGCTATTCACAACAGCCTTGTACCATGTGACAAGCTGTGACCAATCACAGCTCACTCAGTACTTCTCAATGAGTGCAAGAATGCAGAGAGAGAAAGAGAAATGATTGCTTTTACATCCTATATGGGTGTAAAAGCAATCAGTGTAAAAAAAAAAAAAAATCTTCATCACCCCGCCACAAGTAGTACAGTGTCACCATGGTGACACTGTACTGCTAGGGTGACAGTATGTAAAAAAAAAAAAAAAAAAAATAATATAAAAAAAAATAAAATAAAAATTTAAAAAAAAATGTTTAAAAATTATAATTTTTGGTTATAAACTAATTTGGATTTTTTTTTTTACTAAAAAGATAACACAATAAATTTTGGCCAAGATTTATGTTGAAATATTATTTATTTGCAAACTTTTATTAAAAAAAACACTTTTTTTCAAAATTTATGGACTTTTTCATTTACATTTACAATAAAAATCCCAGCGGTGAATAAATACCACCAAAATAAAGCTTTATCTGTCTCAAAAAAATGGTAAAAAATTAATTTGGGTACAGTGTTGCATGACCGCGCAATTGTCATTCAAAGTGTGATAGCGCTGAAAGCTGAAAATTGCCCTGGACAGGAAGGGGGTAAAAGTGTCCGGTCTGGAAGTGGTTCAAATGTGGGATATTATTTTATTTTCACTGTCAATGATAAACAGTACAAATAGAGAGTGAATCTTTCTACCTGGGGCAAAGTCAGCAGTAAAAACAGGAGTTCTAACCCTTCTCCGCTCCATCAAAAATGAAAAAAAAAATTGCCTTTAGTGATATTTAAGGCTTGTCTACACCAACCCATGTCCATTGTGTATGGTGTGAAAAATTGTTTTCTATGTGACCTTGCAGAACAGGCAAAGAAACATACAGATCTGCACACATGGTGTGAATGAATCCTTAACCCCTTGCCACCCACATAACGCAAAGGGGGGTGGGCTTTAACAGCCACAAGCCACACATATGAAGCAGCGTTCTTATAGCTAGCTACCAGCACAGAGATAGAGCTGTCAACAACAGCTTCTGTTCTCTAGTAATGACAGCCAATGACAGTGACCACATGATCAGAAAGACCATCCGGCCATCCGGTGTAGTAGCTCAGCTAAAGGACACCAAGGCTGGGCGGGTTAAATATATAATATAGAATTATTTGTTGGAAAATTGTTGCTTATTTGGGCAATTTTACACACAGCCTCAAAAGTAGTGGAGTATTGTACCGAATTCATCATTGATCCAAGGAATATCCAATTGCCTCTCGGGGGATCAGGAAGGAATTTTTTCCCCTGCGAGAGCATATTGCAGAGTGCTTTGCTAGGTTTTTTTCCTTTCTTTGGATCAACTGTGGGTATAGGATTATAACTTTTTTTATCTATGGTCGAAATGGATGGACTTTTGTCTTTTTTCAGCCAGACTATGTAACTATGATTAATGCAGAAAGTTTGAAAGCTAGCCAATAAAGGGTATTACTTTACCTGCAAACTTTGTACACAGCTATACAACAAATGCTGAAAACTAAAGTTGTTTGTTATGTAGGCAGGTGCTTGGCTAAGAATGAAGGGTACGAGAAACACTGGCTGCAGCTGTTCTCTGTAGCTGTTGCCCTGTTGTGTTGAACTGGTTAACAGCTGTTTCAGTGAGATGGAAGCTGCAGAGCAGGAAGAGTTCAATAGATTGAGTCCAGGCAGCACTGCACTGTGGGAACTGTAGTGCAGAGGAGAGAGACTTTACCGTAATCAGGAGCTTTTGAACTGCATTTCCCAGAAGGAGATTGCCAGGAGGAGGGGGAAAGAGCTGCATTTGCTCAAGCTGTACAGGACACAGCTTCCTTTTGCTGTAAATAGGGTTGTGGATAAGGGGGTACCACCAGTCCTCCTATATGGGACCCAGGACAGCAGGGGGGCCCAGTATCTGAATTGGATGTGGGTGGGGAGGATGATAGGCATGGTGGGGGGGTAGGTTTACTGGAACCGATCCCCTGTATGGCTCTCTATGCAGCAGCTGAAAGATGGCTCCTTCTCCTCTCCCTCCCACTGGCTTTCAGATGCTGCAGAGAGAGCTATACAGGGGATCGGTTCCAGTAATTGCCCTCCCCACCCCTGCCGCACCCATCTCCCTCCCTGTACACCATACGTTTCTCCCTGCTACCAAGGTCCCCTTGTGTGTCCCCACCCCCTGCAGTGCTTCCTTCCCACCGGCAGCTGCAAGCACACAATAGGATCCTTCAGGATAGAGAGTGGGTGAAGAGTCAGGTAAATATGTCACATTTACTATACCTGCCCCTTCCTGTCCTGAATGAACACCAATGTGATTGGTACCAATCACTCACTGTGTTCATTCATAATTGAAGCATAGCAAACTGTGTTTTGTTGAGGGTGGGGGGCTGTCAGGTTGACTGTATGGTTTTCCGTGGTTTCTAACAGCAGCCCTGGCTGTGAGGGAGACTGAAGGGTGCACGTCACTATGCAGTGTGTACCATCACTGCAGCATATCAGCGGCCTGAGCCGGATCCAGAGTGCTGAGTTCAGGGGTGCCGACAACAAAAGTCACCTAGGTGCAGATCAGACAGTAGAATAATTGCTGTGTGAGACCGGATGGTGAGTTGAAATATCGATGGGACTGGTGAGTTGCTGCTGTGGGGATTTACCATCTGCTGCTTGAGAGAATGAGCCCTTTAGGAACTGATTATACAGCCATCTCCCAGCCTTATTGGTTCTTGCAGGCTTGACTGAGATGGTTCTCATGTGTACCAATGGTACAACTGGGCCCCAACACTAGCTGGTTGAAGAGTTAGGACTAAAGACTGTCCCTTTACAGCTGCTACAGAGAGACCTTCACCTATTGCTTATACTAAAAGTTACCTCTCAGGGGATATTGCACCATATCCTAGCCATTCTTCTAGAGTGCGCTATAAACTAGTTATAGTATTATTATTCAAATTGCAGGAAATGCTTATATGTATTTTTTATTGTTGGCTTTGCTGATTTACACATTGATTGCAGTCTAGTGGTACAGTACTCTACCTTCTGTATGATCATTTATGCTCAAACCACAATCTATTCTAACCCATAGCAATACATTGAGTTAATTTACTACTAAACGGTCCTGTGTCTATTTCCTTGTACTAATTCACAGCTCAGTTAAAGGTATCTATATTCATGTTCTTATAAGTGCTTGCATTAACTTTCATTCAACCAGGTGTATCAGAGGGGCTGAGGTTGTTCCTGCAGTCAAGGAGCAGAACAGAGAACCCAAATTATCAAGCGGCTCCTGTGGGGGTAGCGTTACACTTAATCAAAGTATGATTTTTTTTTTATCAAGCATGAGAATACGCTTACATATGAACACAGTGTAGAGAGCATTGGTCTGCAGTAATGATTGCCAACAAACCAGTAATCACTTTGCAACAACTTTCATGGCCATGCAAATGAAAACTTATTTTCATCAGTTGCCACTGGGCACCTCCCATTATGGCTTTTTTCCTTTTCATTATAGAAGGAGAGCACCAGATTTGTCATGTTGTGGTATTTCAGAATTCAATTGAAAACCCAAGGTATGCTAAACATTGCTGACTTTCTCGATACCTAGCTAATGTTTTGACAAACAGAATCCTTGGGTGTTGTTATGTGCAAATGTAATGGTTATCACAATCCCCTTATGCATACCACCCAGAAAGAATTTCCTGACTTAAAAACACAATACAGCCTTCTTTTCAAATACCTTTATTTCATTGCTTTAAGCATAGAGAAAATCTGCCATGTGTCCCTCAACAAGATTCCAGCTGCACGAACTGTATATAAAGTCAACTGCTTGCTCTTTTCTGAGGGCAGCAATCTAAACTGTCAATGGCCCTGATGGTTGTGTGTTAGTGGGAACACCTGTTAGATGCACAATCTAATGGATTGTCTGATCTAATAAAAATGCATAATTCACTTAAAATCAAAAAATCTAATTAATAAAATCTATGCATGTCTAAATACCTCTGACAACAAGTAAACTAGACTAGTTATGCTATAGAACCCATGTCAGAAGAAAATATATATAAATCAGTGGTGGTTAACATGATGTAGGGGGCCTCATGATCAGCCCCTGATATCACCCAAGGTCCACTGATAATATTTAAGTATCATGGTGGTTTCAATGTTATAGTAGTTTCTCTCACATAGCAGTTTTCTTGATACTGTGGTTCCTAACATAGCAGTTTCTCATAAACAGGGGCGGACTGACCATTTGGAAACTCGGGCACTGCCTGAGGGCCCGGGGTCAGTAGGGGGCCTTATGAGATGCCCCTGGTACCTTTACCATAGGCTTTTTTGAGTTTGGGCAAGGACACAGGGGCCCCATGATCCCCAATTGCCTGGGGGCCCCATGAGTTGTCAGTCCGCCCCTGCTCATAACACAACATTGTCTGTACCATGGCAGTCTTTGTTTGCCATGGCAGCACTCTCTTGTAACATGCACCACCATGTGCAAGTATAATAGCTGACACAAAGATTTTGTAGATACAGTATGATACTGGCAATGGATAACCCATACATGTAAGGGCCAAGCTACACCCTTTTTTAAAGTCATGCTCCATTACAATGTCAAGTTTTTCAGATTATCTCCTTCATACTCAACTCTAAATATTTGTAGGTCTGCAATTAAAATGCCTTTAAAGGATAATTTTTAAATTAAAATAATAAACATGGTATACTTACCTCATCTGTACAATGGTATTGTGCAGAGTGGCCCCAAACCTCCTCTTCTGCGCTCCCCTGCCGGCACTTTCGGCTCCTCCCCTTCCATGTGTGCCCCCCATAGCAAACTGCTTGCTATGGGTGCACACCTGTCGGCTTGCTCCAAGCTGTGTGCTTCCATAGACACACACAGTGCAGCTCAGCCAAGCCCCCGCTGCATCCTCGCAGCCAATGGTGGTTCCCACTGCTGCCTGTGTGTCCTGTGATGAGAGGAACACAGACCAGCACCGCTGCAGACAGGCACAAGACTGGGTCAAGATAGGACTCAGTTAAGTATGTAGTGAGGTGGAGGGGTAATACAACTACTGGGACATATTTTACCTTAATGCAGGAAATGCATTAAGGTATAAAATATCGTGGCTTTAAAACCAGTAAAACTGGTAAAGTGACGCTAAAAAAAAAGTATACTTAAAGTATAACTATTGTAAAGGCAAAAAATCTTTTGTAGTTTTGGATAGAGTGGAAAGGGATTAGAACCCCTGTCCGGTTTTATTGCTGTCAGTGCCCCCATTAAGGAGATTCCCCCCTTTCAATTTGTCTTGTTTAATGTTATCATTGAAAGTGAAAGTAAAATAAATTCCAAATTTGAAATTGGATTGGCCCCAAAAGTAATAAAGGGGAACTCTTCCAATAGGGAAACTAGTTCTGTTGACCTGGGGGTCTCCAAGGGATTCCCTTAATTTGTAGGCATTGCCTCACACTTCCTGTTTCGCTATGGGACAGGAAGTGAAAGGAAATCTCCAAAATGTGACACAGCAAGAAAAAAAATCTGATGGAGGTTTTAATTCTCCCCTGCTCTATCCAAAATGAGAAAAAAAAGTTCTATTTTTACTCAAAAAATGATTCTTTTGCTGCCCGCCTCCCCCAAAATTCCTTATTTATGTATTTCTTTTTGCTGCTGTGATCAGACTTCCTGTTAGAGGGTGGATTCAATCACCACGGTCCCACTGTATGTAAGGCAGTCATACAGAGGTGAACAAATCTAGTCACCCTCCAACAGGAAGTCAGATCACAGCAGCAAAAAAAAAATTTGCAAATTTGGCGGAGTCTGATAACAATAGAAGGTTCTTTTTGAGTTAGGAATGCATACTTGAAAAGAATTTTCTTTTTAAAACCCGAATTTTGGGTCACTTTAGGCATTCTGTTTGTTTTATGGATATCCCGGTATAGATACTGTTGACTGAATAAGTGTACATGTTGAACTTACTGTATATACCAATTTATGCTCTCTCACTCACATCTTCAATCTCTCCCTCTCTAATGGTGCCTTCCCCTCCCCCCTAAAGCATGCACAGACCACTCCCATGCTTAAAAAGTACTCGCTGGACCCCACCAACCTAAACAACTTAAGACCCATCTTGTTGCTCCCATTCACCTCTAAACTTTTAGAACGCCTAGTCTACAACTGTCTTAGCTCCTACCTCACTGAAAACAACCTTCTTAACCCCTTACAGTCTGGCTTTTGCTCACAACAGTTCACAGAAACTACCCTACTAAAACTCACTAATGATTTATTAACTGCTAAAACCATAGGCAACAACTCTATAATCTTACTGCTAGACATCTCTACAGCGTTTGATACTGTTGACCACCCTTTTCTTCTCAATGAACTCCACTGCCTTGGCCTCCAAGTTTTCACTCTATCCTGGTTCTCCTCCTACGTATCACAGCATTCCTTCAGTGTTACCCATAACTCTGTCTCCTCCTCTCCACTTCCTCTTTCTGTAGAGGTCCCTGAAGGCTCTGTTCTTGGACCTCTTTTCTTCTCTATCTATATTTCCTCTCTTGGTCACTTGATAATCTCCCATGGCTTTAAATACCACCTCTATGCTGATGACACCCAAATCTATCCCTCTACTCCTCACCTCACTTCTTCAGTTTTCTCTTGCATTACCAACTTACTAACTGACATATCAGCATGGATTTCACACCATTTCCTTAACCAAAATCTCTCTAAAACCAAGCTGATAATATCTCCCTCCCCCCACTCCTGCCCTCCTTCATGATTTTTCCATTAATAATGCAACTACCAGTCCTTCCTTTCAAGCCAGGGTACTAGGTGTAATACTAGACTCTGACTTCTCCTTTCGGCCCCAAATCCAATTACTGTCAAAAGCTTGTAGACTTCACCTCTGTAATATTTCTAAAATTCATCCCTACCTAACTAATGAAACCACTAAGCTACTCGTTCACTCCCTTGTTATCACCCGCTTTGACTATTGCAACTCTCTTCTCATAGGCCTACCACTCCATAGGCTATCCCGGCTTCACTCTATCTTGAATGCTGCTAACAGATTCATCTACCTTACAAACAACTCTGCCACCCCTCTCTACCAATCCCTCCACTGGCTTCCGAATGCCCTGTGAATGATATTCAAAATAATAACAACAACATACAAATCTACTCACAACTCTGCCCTGAGCTTCATCACCAATCTTGTCTCCAAATATCACCCAAACCGTACACTCTGCTCTTCTCATGACCTCTTACTCTCAGGCTCGTCTTCTCCTCCCATGCTCATCTCCAGGACTTCATCAGAGTCTCTCCATCCTTTGGAACACTCTACCTCAATCTGTCCTGCTATCTCCTACTCTGGCCACCTTTAGACGATCCCTGAAAACTCATCTCCTCAGGAAAGCCTATCACACCTCCTCATCCCCCACAGTAATAACCTTTTACCACTTGCCCACTCTATTGTAAGCTCTTTTGAGCAGGACCCTCTTGTATTTAATTGTATTGTAACTGTACTGTCTCCTTTTATATTGTAAAGTGCTGCGCAAACTGTTAGTGCTATATAAATCCTAAATTTTAATAATCATTTATGTAAGTCTCTTTAAAGAATGCTTGCCCTACGTTCAGGTGCCATGACCACTCTTCATATTGCCACCAAAGATCCATTATCTCCTGCGCTCAAGGACTCAGATCAAACAGGCGTTAGTGACAAGCAGCGTGTTGTGTATTCATCCACTGGTGATCAGAGGTTGTGCAGCTCTATCATGAAGCTGGGAAAGCTCATCTTCCTCTACACTCTTCCTATTGCTACAGCCCTGCATGGCGAAGCACGAGCGCAGGGGATATGATGCAATTACACCCCATACTATACTATATTGGCTCCGGTTTGTTGCAAGCATAACCTTATTGTAGTCGGGTTTTGTATCATTGCATTGTCTGTGTTTTCTTGTTTGAGTTACTGCTGTGTCGCTGTAGGTTGTGCCTGCTGTTTCGCTTAGGCACCCTGTACATGTCTTTTGTACCATTATGTTCTTTATTAATAAAGGCTTTCTTTTTGTAAAAAAAAATAAATAAAGAATGCTTGCGACCCAGTGTATACGTTAAAGCCCTTCTTGCACAGTTGGAAAATATAAATTTAGTCACGCAGAGGATTTTGTTTCTTAGGTTCTGCTGTAAACCAATATGAGGCATCAATGAGAGCTGGAGGCATTGGGATTACTATGAACCACTTTAAAGAGTGTGTAACATACCAGTACGTGTTCTAAATACTTTACCTATATTTAGTTAGGTTTTGTTAGTGTTTACTGTGAGTAGCTTACTGCAATATCTGTGGTACCTATTTGCACATGTGATACCCCCCTACGCTATTGCAAACCCCTCTTTTTTTATGCATATCAGCATACTTTAAATGGAAATGCTATTTACAGTATCTGTACATTTACTTTTGATCGTCATGTTACAAGCTTCAGCATGAGTACTGCCATACTGTTTGCTAGGCTAGCACTTTGGCAGGCATCTTGTGGTCATGTTTTCATTACACAGCACTCACTTACTTATTAATGCTCTTTAACTTTGTTCCAATAAGCTGGAACAAAGCATTTTTCAGGTCCAGGTTGCTCTGGAAAGAAAAAAATGTTTTATCTATAGGGTGTATTTGTTGCCCATACCTACCTGTCCTTAAAGTGGAAATAACTCTACAATACATACCACTGCTCCAGAGATCCAACATGCACAAGGTCCTTTGTCAGCACCAACATTATCTCCCTGGTTTCTTTGGGGTCTTCGGCCTTCTTGTTTGGCTAAAGTCTCATTCATCCCAGCACTAAGGCACTGTGCCGAGAACGTGACCTGAGATGCGCATGTGCAAGTTTGATTTATCGAAGAAGAGACATATCAAGTCTTTTCTGCAATATAAAGTCTGTCTGCTTGCAATTTTCTTTTTTTTTTTCCCAAATCCAGGCAAAATCTATAACTTCCCCATCCCTCGCACCTCCTCCAACCCATCCTGCTAGTTGTTCAATTGACCTTACTTGGGGAGGTCTGTAATATTCATCCCTCCATCCAAGTCCATCGTTGTCACCATTTCTGTCTGCTGGGACCGCTAGTCCATCACCACACGTTAACCCTTGCCTTCCAATCCCCTTCACTCCTTATGGTTCGATGTCAGCAGTCTTCTGGATCCTGAGAGCAGCCCTCTGCTGGCTGAAT